TTTTCTACAAAAACAAGAAGTGGAGTAAAGCTGTCTCGTGTGCTGGTGTTGATTAGGGACCCATTTCGTTGAGAGAAAAGAAAAACAAATTAATTGCTCCAAATGTCTATATTGATTATTAGTATAAATTAAAATTTATATTTATCGCCCATAAAAATCATAACGTACGAACAAAGCAAAGGCTGGAAATTAAAAAGAACTGGGCTATTTCAAGGTAGAAAATCATTCTCTTGTAATCATCGCTCGTCCACCACCGCCAGATCTCTTCACTCTTTATATTTGCTTAGTGTCTTGTGTTACTAATTAGAGTATAGTTGTTAGACAATCTTTTGAAATTATATTTATTCATCTTAATTCTTAGCAAACATTCTCTTTCGTGGTAAAAATTTGTAGTTTTTTTTTCTGAAATTAATAACCAAAACTCAAACTGATCCCTAAATCATGTGGACTATAAAATACGTCTTGCTATTCAATACTTCTACAATGGACAATATCAGCATATCAAATTATATTTAGATTTTTTTTTAATAAAGATTAGTGTTTTCTATACAAATAGATGTTTTATTTTGCTATATGTAAAATTAGCAAGAAAATGAAAATTAATTTATCCAAACAAATTGTAGTTATATTCTTCTATCATTTTTTCCACCAACAAAATTATTATTATGTATTTATTTATTTTACAAGTCTACCAAGTGCATGAGTATTCGATTTCTTATGAATTTAACGTTGTTATTTAACTCAACGTGCAGGAAAATTCCACATGGCACACACTGTAAATATCTACGTGGCTTGCATGTGCACTGCACTTCCAAGGAGCGAACACTCTTAAATCGAAATTCTCCCTTTTGTGCTTAATTTCGTTCACATGAATATTTTCATATATATATAAATAAAAATAAAACGGGCATGTTAATCTAATGTATATCAATGCTATCCACACGGACATGTAGAAATAAGTTCGAGGATAGCTTTTTTTTGGGAACATTAATTTGGATGACAGTTATTACATATATATATATATATGCATATATAAACATATTTTCTAAATAAAATTGAGATAGAAAGTTGTATTGCTTGATATATCTATAGATGTTAATTATGTAATATGTATTCCGATTTAAAATATGTATTATGTGAGTAGTTGATGCTTTGGCTGGTAAAGAGGAATTTATTTGTATTTTATTGTAGTTGGTAACAGTTAAGAGTATTAGGTCAGTATCTAAGTTTAATCGGGTGAATTAATAAATAACAATTAAACAGCCACCTAAAATTATAGCCCATATGTACTACAGTACTAGTATATTCTTAATACGAAAATAAGTAGATAGTCCAGCTTTTTAGTGGCAGATTTTTTTTTTTTTAATAGAATGCTTTTAGTGGCAGTTGTAATAAAGACTGACGATTAGTAGAACTAGATCATAATATTTATTAATATAGTTTGATGCATGGGCTGTTAATAAAACCCTTTGTTACGAGAGAATATTAGAGGAGACTAATGGCGATATAAATTATAAATTTGTAGAATGTTTATAACTAAACATGTACCAAACCTTATATGGATCGATGTTTGTCGGTAATTATTATTTAAGGTATTAAGTTATGCGTGTTTAGGTTAACGGTCAACATCTAGAAATTTGAATGAGTCAGTACTAATCTCCTATTTGGTAATATTCCCATCTGTGTCTAAAACTATTATTATTCACAAAATGTTCAGCAAACATTAAAGAAGTTAGAAACTCTTTCATTCATGTGTATATAATGGAGAAGTGACATAGAGAAATACGAAAAATTTCTCATTTCATTCTAAGGATCAAGATGGTAATTTTGTGTGTCTCTTCAAGTATAATAATAAGTTTTTGTTTCTTTGCATATACTTATTTGTTTTGTGTGTAAATTTGTCGTTTAGTCGAAGATAGCAATTCACTTAAGGCATTAGGTGAGGTGATAATACGAATTTTTGTGTGTGAATACGATGTCGTTTTCATGTTTACACGTATCCAGGCTTTATTTATATGAATGGACCCAGCCACAGTCTCCCTCAATCAAATAAGACTAGAGGGTTAAAAAGGTTATTTTATTACGATTATACGAAATTGGACCACATGGGTCCCACCTGATTATATATCCGACATCGTTTCGTTTGTCTGCGCACAATCAGACGGGTCAATGGCCTGACCCGGTAGGCCGTTACTCATTCCAGACAAGCGGGTCATGACCGGACTCTGGACTGTTAGGTCTGTTACAATGTGTTTTCTTTTTCCGAGTCCCGTCCTTAACCACGTAAGTTTAGTCCAGATTTAATTAGTACATATAAGAGTACCTTAAGATTAATGTTAATACCAATAAAAATGACAAATATATTAAGGGTTGTATATCGTATTTTATTTTCTGTAATATTTTTGTTCGCATAGGGATTACCGTAAAACTCTTACCATTAAAGAGTATAGTTTATACTTTATGCTAATGACCTTAGCTAATGTAGACATATCACGTGACGAAAAGCGCGTTACGTGGTCTTTTTAAATTTGGACCCACCTCTAATTCCTTTATAACTATTCAATTTATCATTCGTCAGTAGTCACTATGAAAATTACCCGATTCAACACAGCTCATCATATTCCAAACTTGCTTAGTATCCATAACTTTTTCTTACGCTTTTTATTTTCTATTTATCTATTTTATTCATCTTGATTGTAATACTTTACCTTTTTCAAAAAAATATTTCTTTCTCATTCGTCTTCGTGAATTTATAATTTTTCAATATTTTAATACTGTAAAGAATCAGATTCAACAATATCGAATTCTATCCACTATTGATTGATGGTGAAATAATCTATCTACAGTAGCATCTATTCATCTATTGTTACGGGTAAGTGAAGCTAAGAATAAATAGCTCAAGCAGATCGCAGCCGTCGGATTTATTCTGAGATGGAATACTGTACAGCGCATACTACAGTAAGACCGAACCGGTAAGGGTGTGAAACAAAGCCACGTGTTTTTCTTGCTGTCAGCTGCTGTTTTGATTTCGACAATAGTTGGATGTTGACTTTCCTTTTTCCTTTTTTTTTCCCTCAACGCTCCTTTCTTAAAGATTTTAATTTCAAAAGCTAAATTATACGTTAACAAATTTTCCGCAGACAAAAACCTTATTTTAAAATACTTGACTAGAGGAAAAAAAAAATACTTGACTGGACAATTTTATATTAATATATATATATATATGAATACATACAAAAAATAGATCGTTCCTGGATTTAATTTGTGTGGTGAGCATCTTATTTCAATTAATTACATTTTGTTTATTCAATTTAAAATGGATGAAATGTGTAGGTAGACAGTAGACATATTAGATGATATACCTAATGGTCTAAATTATGATGATTATGTAAAGTCTAAGCTATTTAATCCTATTTTATTAGAGAAAACAACCTCAATAATCATATCCGTTTGTATTTTATTCTTCAGGTTTCGTTTTTTATGAGCGAGAAATAATGTTTCCTTTTATTTATGAAAATAAGTCGTTAAATCAGTTTTCACTTTTCATTTTCAATTAGTTAGCGAAAAATAATGTTTCCTTTTATTTATGAAAATAAGTCGTTAAATCAGTTTTCACTTTTTATTTTCAATTAGTTTCCCACTTTTGATAAAATTGAAAATTATTGTTTTATATATTCTTAACTCTCGAATCGTGGAATTGCTATTTACAGACTGTGGTGTACAAACTTTCTTCGCTGGCTTGTCTCTAAACTATATGAATGCAATTGTATGTAAGGACCATCTCGCTGAATGAATTTAATCATATTAAATAACATTTTCATGTATTTTTGGTTGTTCATAGCATATGTAAAAAAAACACATACTTGTATTTGTTCTCTATTTTTGGGAGGAAACAAGAAGAATTGATAGTCATTTTTTTAATTAATCAAAGTGTGAGAAAAGCATAATTAAGCGGTGGAAACAAACGCTTCAAATTAATATCTCCAGTCTATTTATTATTTTGTCGCCACTCTACGGTAGTTCCGTTTCCCATATATTACCATTTAGTAAGCACTTACCATAATCAAATTTATTTAATTGTCTTTAAAACAGGTATTATACAACTAATCATTCTCGATGTAATCAGTCAACATAATTAAAATAAAAACCAGCCAAATTTATAGACCAAAATAAAAAGAAAAAGTTGTAAATTTGTAAGGAACACATATTTAATGAGCATTTATGTATATATCTTTAGTAAAATCTTAAATTAATAAAGTGCTTAATCTACATTAGTCGTCTGGTGCTAAATCATTTTCATTTGTCACGTTTATTAATTTTATATAAAAAGAAATTAGTAGTAGTACATTACTTCATGTTTTAAGTATATACGTAGTGGTCTAAACAGAATGCTCATGTAAGATAAAAATAACACGTATCGCCGTGATATTGACGAAATAAATATCTATATCATACCTACATATAAGTACAATGTTTAGTTAGCTGTGCTAAACCAAATTGCACGCACTATTGTTATAAGTGTCACTAACAAAATAGGTCTAGTAAAGACTATAGATAATGATAATGGTAACTAATCGTTATACATACATATATACACACGAAATACAACAAACGCTTTCACCATTCAAGTCTAAGTTTCGAAAAGGGAGTTTCCAAAACGTCAAAGCTTAGGTTTATTTGCTTCTGTCTTCTTCTATTAATGGGATTGCAGAGCAAGGAACCACATGTGATACATGTCATTGTTTGGCTATCATGGTGATACGAAATCTGAAAAGCCTATTAAGCAAACAGGCTATAGTGCATACGGATTTAGTATTTTATTTGTTTCGACTTACACAGGTTTAGTATCTAATAAGTAAAATATCTAAATTAATAAAATTCGATTAAATTGAATTATTGGTAAAGAAATAAGAGAAAAAAAAGAGAGCCAAGGAATTAAAATAAAAAGGAAATATGAGAAAGCGAAGGTATTGATTTGTTTAAAGGAGAGCCTCTGCTACGTTTTAGGCTTTGAAGTGATACAGAAGGCATAGATTATTTTCACCATCACCATCACCATCACCGCCACTATCACCATAACCCACCACTCTTCTCTCTCTCTCTCTAGAAACAGAGTTGATTCTGTGTCTTCAATCTGTTTGCTGATATTGATGATTCACTAGCTCCTGGTTTTTGAGATTCTGTTTCACTGCTGCATTTTGGAATTTTCCGGTGAGTTTTTTTTTTCTTTTCATACACTTCTCTACTGGCTTCGGTGCTGGGATTGGATTCGATTTCGACATTCTCGTTCTGTGATTTCCTTGGATTCCCGTTTTTAGTTTCGAAATCGGAACTATATTATGCTTCTGGATTATCGAGCTCTATTTTAAAAAAAAAAATTCGCCGTCGGTGACTTTTCGTTTTCAGATTGATTTGAAACGTCGGTGAGATGGTCTCTTACTAATTTCGAGGTTTTTTGTTGCTGTTGTGCGACTTTCTCTTCTGCCATTATTTGGCTTTTAATCCTCAAGTTACTGAATTCTAGTAATGGCCTTTTTGTCGCGATTCCACCTTGAAATCGGTTTTTGGAGGTATTCGATTATTAGTTTTTTTCTACTTCTTCTTCTTCTTCTTCAAGTTTCTGTTTCATTTACAAGTGTTCAAGCTCATCGAACTTTATATTCGTTTCTGGGAAGAATACAGTTTCCCCTCCGGCTTCGTTTACGCAAGTAACCTTTTCGATTTGAAATTTGCGATCGTCCATTGCCGTTGCTCTGGATCTCTGATTTTTTCGATTTACTCGACTTCACTACTTGCTCGGAAAGTTCAAGATTATTTTCTGAAATCCGAAATTTTATATTGCAATCGTAAACTGTTTTTTTTTTTTTATTGGTTGAGAATTTGTGCCAATTTTTTTTTTCTGAAAAATGTTGAATTGTTTGTGTAGATGGATCGTAAAAGTTGGCCATGGAAGAAGAAATCGTCGGAGAAAGCAGCTACAGTGACGGAGGTTATTGACCAGGTAACTTAATTTCAACACACTTTATTTCTCATTCTTCCTTCATTAAATTCTAAGATTTGAGTTTTGATTCCGAGTTTCTTTCCCGATTATTTATTTTAAAAAAAAATTATAGGAGAATGGGAAGAAGCCGAGCTACATCCAGATATCCTCTGATCAATACTCGCATCTAAATGGTTTGAAAGAAGAAGTCAAGAAATATGAGGAACAAGTTTTGAAGCTGGAAGATCAGATAAAGGATTTGGATTCGAAGCTATCTACAGCAAATGCAGATATTACAGCCAAGGAGATTCTGGTGAAACAGCACTCCAAAGTTGCTGAAGAAGCTGTCACAGGTATGAAACAAAGTCTGATCAGAGACGAAACCGCATGCAATTTCTGTGTTTTGTTTCTTGTCTCACGTCTTTAGTTGATATATGGTTGTTTCAGGCTGGGAAAAAGCTGAAGCAGAAGCATCGGCTCTGAAAACGCATCTCGAAACTGTTACGCTCGCGAAGCTCACTGTTGAAGATCGGGCTGCGCATTTAGACGGAGCACTTAAGGAGTGTATGAGGCAGATAAGGAGTCTAAAGGAAGAAAATGAACAGAAGCTGCATGATGTTATTGTAACTAGAACCAACCAAATGGATAAGCTCAAGGCTGAATTTGAGTCCAAGATTGGAGAATTCGAGCAAGAACTACTTCGTTCTGCAGCTGAAAATGATGCCCTCTCGAGGTCACTGCAAGAGCGCTCAAACATGCTTATCAGGATAAGTGAAGAGAAATCCCAAGCAGAGTCTGAGATTGAGCATCTTAAGAACAATATAGAGTCCTGTGAAAGGGAGATTAATACTCTCAAGTATGAGACCCATGTGATTACCAAAGAGTTGGAAATCCGCAACGAGGAAAAGAATATGAGCATGAGATCTGCAGAAGCAGCAAACAAGCAGCACTTGGAAGGTGTCAAGAAAATTGCAAAGCTGGAAGCTGAATGCCAAAGATTACGGACTCTCGTGAGAAAGAAACTCCCGGGTCCTGCAGCACTTGCGCAGATGAAAATGGAGGTTGAGAGTTTAGGCAGAGACTACGGAGATCAACGACATAGGAGGTCACCGGCTAGGCCGTCTAGTCCTCTCATGTCTCCAATGTCACACATGTCTCACATGTCCGAGTTCTCGCTTGACAATATGCAAAAGTTCCATAAAGAAAACGATTTGATGACAGAGCGGTTATTGGCAATGGAAGAAGAAACTAAGATGCTGAAAGAAGCATTGGCAAAGCGGAATAGCGAGCTTCAAGTGTCGAGGAACCTCTGTGCTAAGACAGCAAACAGGCTTCAAACGTTGGAAGCTCAAATGATGAGTAAAAGTCCACCCAAGAGTGGGTTTGAAATGCCTGCTGAAATATTCTCTCGTCAAAATGCTAGCAATCCTCCTAGTATGGCTTCAATGTCTGAGGACGGGAACGAAGATGCTAGAAGCATCGCTGGGTCTTTGATGTCCGAACTCTCTCAAACCAACAAGGATAGAAACGGTGCAAAGATGAAGAAGACCGAGAGTGCTAACCAGTTGGAGCTTATGGACGATTTTCTAGAAATGGAAAAGCTAGCTTGTCAACCAAATGACTCAAACGCAAATGGTCCGACCAATCACTCAAGTGCTGATTCTGATGCTGAGATTCTACCAGCGACGAAACTGAAGAAGAGAATCTCCACTTTGCTTCAGTCTCTCCCCAAAGATGCTACCTTTGAGAAGATTTTGGCAGAGGTACAATGTGCCATTGAAGATGCAGGTGGTGTTAAGCTGCCTTCTGTTCCTCATGTTACTAATGGAAACGGTCTTACAGAAGAAAAGGAGATAACCATGTCAAATGAGACCACAGAGGAAAAAGTTAATATCGGCGAGGTAATAACCCAAGAATTGGCTCATGCTCTTTCTCAGATATACCACTTTGTTTCCTACCTTTCGAAAGAAGCAACGCCGTGTCAGGACACATTCTCCCAAAAAGTTCAGGAGTTCTCTGTCACATTCGACAGAGTATTGGGCAAGGAGAAAACTTTGGTCGACTTTCTGTTTGATCTCTCCCGAGTTTTAGTCGAAGCTAGTGAACTGAAAATAAATGTGTTGGGATTCAACACATCCGAAGTGGAGATTCACAGCCCAGATTGCATCGACAAAGTGGCTCTACCGGAAAACAAAACACTTCTTCGGAAAGATTCATCAGGTGAACATTACCAGAATGGTTGTTCTCAGAGCTCTGATTCCGAGATTCCAGATGATTGCATCGGAACATCTGGCTATGAACCCAAGCTCACGGCAGCAGCTAGTAAATTTACATCAGAAGAGTTTGAAGGATTGAGACTTGAGAAAGAAAAAGCAGAGACCAACCTTGCAAGCTGTGAAGCAGATCTTGAAGCCACCAAGTCCAAACTACAAGAAACAGAGCAACTTCTTGCTGAAGTCAAATCAGATTTGGAATCTGCTCAGAAGTCTAATGGCATGGCCGAGACACAGCTCAAATGCATGGTGGAATCATACAGATCTCTTGAAACTAGATCATCGGAGTTGGAAATCGAGCTGAGTTCTCTTAAAGGCAAAATCGAAAACTTAGAAGATGAGCTTCATGACGAGAAGGAAAATCACCGCGAGGCTTTAACCAAATGCCAAGAACTCGAGGAGCAATTACAAAGGTATATTAAACTAAATGTTACTCTCTTTTTCACCATTTAAGTCTCTGAAAATCTCTACCTTCACTTCTCTACAAAACTTCAGGAACAACCAAAGTTGCCAGACTTGTTCAGTAACTGAAGCTGATCCTAAGAGCAAACAGGTAACTTTCGATATAAATCCATATATTATCTAACGGAGACTGTGATTTTAAATCTAATGTTTTTATCTCATGTTTACAGGACAATGAACTAGCAGCTGCAGCAGAGAAGCTACAAGAGTGTCAAGAGACTATATTGCTTCTTGGGAAGCAGCTCAAATCCATGTGTCCGCAAACAGAACAGGTTGCTTCCTCTCCAAGCCAAGAACAGGACCTAAACCCTGAAGAAGACAACGAATACGCAACTTCCACAAATCCTCAAGACAGCAAATTGAGTTCGCCTTCAGAAAAGGAAACACCAACTACAATGAGATCTCCGGTAGGGACAAAACATAGACACACCAAGTCAAACTCATCATCGTCCTCGTCGGGACTTACTCCCGAGAAACACTCTAGAGGATTCAGCAGGTTCTTCTCATCTAAAGCAAAGTAAACAAAAGAACAAAAAAACGTATAAATCTAACTATGTTGTATATCGTATCTATTGCTATATATGGTTTTTTACTATGTGAGAATGTTTTTTTTTAACTTTAGTTTTTTATTCTTCTTTCTGTACTGACAACAGTTTGGTGTTGAATTCTACGGCGTGTAAATGTCATCAATCTACCCATCTCTTTTTCTCATTTATTTGTATTTTTTTTTTCTTATCTAAGGTTTCTAAAATACATACACTGATTATATACACAAAAACCCAATCTTTGAAGTTTGAAATCACACCGTTCTCCTCTTCCGTAATTGGTTAATCATGGGCCAATGCAATCTCAGTTTTAGACTTAGCCCAGCCCATTGAATTCGTCTCCAGGGCAATTTTTTTAGTGAGGCTGATGCTTATCAATCGCAACATTACTCCTATTTTCAGTCGAATCACGGTTGACATAAAGAAATCAGCATCTCTTCGAATAGCTTGTACGTGAAAGTGTGTTTTGACTCATGTATTTACTATCGACTACTAGCAACAATTTACTTGAAGTCATAAAGAAACCCAAAGTTTGAAGGCCGGGAGTTTTTTTTTTGTAAGAAAAAATCCATGGGTTTATGTGGTTGCCTATACAATCATTAAATTATTGTAAGCCCAACAATCCTAATTTGGAACATTACGGTACATTGATTAGGGTTAGGTGCAACAATCCTAATTCGGAACTGTTTTTTTCAGCAATTAAGTAGAGACAATTTAAATCATAATAAAAACTGTGTAGCTAAATCTATGCACATATAAATGTGTATGTAAATATAATTCATACAAAACATATTCCATCTGAAAATACACAATTTTGATGAGTCGGTCCGGCTCAAATAGTAGTATTTAACTATAGTTGGTAGAATATTTTCAAGAGCTGTCTTCATACCTAAATAGTAAATACAATACATACAGTCCTAATTACATGTGTTGGATGATACTCGCGTCCATAATGATTTGAAAGAAATTACAAACCATTCGGACCAATTAAACTGACAAATTAAAAGCCGCCAACGCGCGTATCTAATTTTAATTAGTTAGATTTAGAGCAACCTCAATGAACTCTTCATGGAGTTCATATCTTTTTTTATTTATTTAATTTTGAGGAATGAAAAATTTAGAACTCCATCAAATTTTTTTTTTCAAAGTTCTTTCCGGGAGTTCATTATTTTGGGGGGAAGAGAGAAATTGTTGCAGAAAAAAAACATTGCCAATAGAAAATTGCCACGTCGCTGATAAACCCTTCAAAATTAGGTTCTAAAAATCATTCCCTAAAAAAAAATTCATCAAGAAAATAAGTTTTTTGATTTTTTTTAAAATCCAAATAATAGATAAACCCAGTCTATAAACCTCTCATGATACACTATTAGAGGTGCTCTTATTTCTGAAATCGGAAAAAGTGTTTCTAATTGTCATGATACACCTCTAATTGTCATTGAAGATATTAAGATTGGTTTTGTCTTACCATTAGCCCTGCATATAATTAGTTTGCGCTGTTAATTAAGACTTGTTCAACCATAAATAGTAAAGATTCTGATTATGATGATATATTACTGTATTATATAAATCATGTTGCTTTGATGAATGTCTTTGTCGATTTTCTCTGTTTTGTTAACCATTTTTTTTCTCCATTTTGTTTTTTTTTACATCCATTAAAAATATTATGGGTTACCAGCGTACTACTTACCAACTTACCACCATATCGGCTTTTTTTTTGGGGGGGGGGGGGGGTAACAACCATATCGTATTTTTTAATAAACATTTTACGGTCACGAAGAAAAACGGCCAAGTCGATGAAAACAATTCCAATAAATTTTTATATTGACTTTTTTTTAATATATAATATTGACTTACATACGTATATTAACATACTTTCGCAGGCATCATGTACTCGTATTTGTCCACATAAACAAAGCCGTATAGAATTATTTTTTTTCCATTAAAAATTGTCGTTTTGGGAGGAGGTATAGGAAAATTGCTTTCAATAATTAGGCTACTTTTTTGAAGAATGGTTGACCTGATTACAAATCAAATGATGTTTTAGCTAATGCACATTCAGTGGCTCTCTAGTTTTCTAATCACTACGTATATATGGTCAATACACATTCATTCCCAATCAATATAGACCGTCCCATTTTTGGAGTTGAGAATCCATTGTTCATAGTATTAATACGTCGGTTTCATTTTTTTTTTTTTTAAACCATTACAAACGAGGAAGACTAATTTCATCTTTTGCAAAAAAAGGTACAATTTCAGCATTTGAAATGATTAAGGAAACAATTATGACATGTAGAATAGGATCTAGTCCTAGACTACTCCTAGTGCGTTGCTAAATTGCTATATATCACTCAAATCCCTATAATGTATGTTGCTCACAACAAAAGTTGTTGTTTACATCACCTAATTTTTATAATGCATGTGAAGGCTCTCCTATTTTTGTCAAATACTTTGAAGGCTCGCTTAGAATCTCGAGTTTTAAACTTTCAATCAGTAAATATTTTCGTGGAAATATGTTGGAAGAAAAGAAAATAAAATAAAATGAGACTTCTTATTGTAAGGTTTTAAGGAAACTCGACCGTCTGTTAAGTACGGTACGGTCGGAGAGAAGGGCATTTTCTATTTAGGTGAAAATAAATGAAAGTGCATGCGATATATTCAAAGTTTACGTTAAATCTGAGCCGTCCAAAACGTTAAAAACGTGGGCCATTACATACTATTATTGATAGTATAGGATCATAACTCCAAGACATATTGTAGGGATCTAATTTTTTCAGATTTCTAAAGTGTGGGTACCACTCGCATGTGCTCTCTCTCAGACATTGATATGACATCTCCAATATATTTTTTTAAAAGGGTAAACATTTGATCAACATACCATTTTTTTTTGGTGTCCCTTATGATACAACCGGTTACCGGTCACTTGTAAATGTTTTTACAGAATATATATATATATATACATTTCATAAGCATAGTTTTCTTTTTGTAATAAAATCTTATTTTTTTAATATTAGGTTTATCATTTTTTTTTTAAAATTAGGTTTTGTCGGTTGACTAAATTTACAGTTTATACTCGCTGAAATAATTGTGTAATCATATTAGTAATTAGGTGTTACAGAAGTTCGACGCATAAGGCCAGAGTAAAGCGCATGAGTTTTGCTGAATAATAAAATTTTATATTCTGCTACTACAAACGTGTGCTACGGACCGTGCATATATTATCCTTGTGAAAAATTCCGGAATACACATTTCAATACATTCTTAAATTTTTATATTAGGTTTCGACAGTTTTAACGGCTTACAAAACTGCCGATCCTAAAAGAAGGTATCCTTGGGACTACTTTCTTGGACGAGCTCGCATAGTAACGTTTTATTGTCTTTTCTTGAGAAACTTTTATAAAGTAAACCAATTTTACGACGAACCAAAATTCCATATTATATTATATGCAATTATCTTTATCAAAAACATATCATATGCAATTAGTCCACTTGTGGGAATGAGATGGTTTTTTTTTTTCTTCAACTGAAACAAAATGTAGACTATTATGAATAAGATATTGTAGAATATAAAATATAGATTTTTATATGCAGATTTTAACCGTTAGAAAAAAGGAGAATACATAGATAGAATGGAAAAAAACAAATTATAAGAAGAAAAAAGCATTCACTGATATAATATGATAATCACATTCACACCACCATGAGGAGAAATAATTATCAGACTATATATTTGCTTATTTCCTCTCCAAAAAATCCAAGATAATAACCAAAAACTGGTTTTATTGATCACTCTTATAGGGGTCTCAGTAGAATTAGTCTCGTTCTAATAGAAACACTAACCCAATTTTAATTACCCAAAGCTAAACAACGCTTATTGCTCTAAAAATAAAAACTACTAAAAACCAAAAACCCTAAATAAATGTTGATCTGAGCATGGAGGTGACGAGAGATTTGAAAGCTACTTCTTCACAAGGAATGGTGAGACCCATGTCGTGATCGAAGCCAAACTCTTCCTCAGCTTGTTGTAGAAGAAGCTGAAACTCGGCTCGGGTCAAAAATGAAATGGGCAAAACGTACCTGACCCGACTCTCCCCTACGTAGACCACGAAATGACCTTTGGGCACGTCTAGAGGAAGATATTCTCCATCCTGGTCATGTTCGTCGTTATATTCACTGCTCTGTTTCTTTCCCAAACTTGAGCATCTCTTCAAGATTTGCTTTATCATGGTCGTTTGTGGTAGCTTGGTTCGGTTTTTTATCGCCATTGTCTTTATACTCTCGGGAATGAAGTGGGTTTTTCTTTGATTTGAAAAACAATTTCGAGATTTCTTTATTTCGTGTTTGATTTTTTTTTCGGTTTTTTTCTTCCAACTCTTTAGCTTCTTATTGTGTGTGGCTTTAGGGGTGAGGAGAGAGTGAGGAAGGGTTTGTTGAGTTGTGGTTTTGGGGTATTTATGGATGATTTCATCAAAAACACACAGAGAGATGCCTATAATTTTTTTTTTTTTTGGTAAAAGAGATACATATAAAGTTCCATACGTAAATTTATATACTTGGTGAAAAAGGTATATACCAATACCATTATACCATTCTATGAAATCAGGAAATTTTGTGACGGGTCTAAAAGTCGCAAGACAGGTCCTATTTTTAACTATCGGACTGGTCAGTTTTGTAAGGTTTTGAAACAAAGAAATATCATGTAATATATATGTAAGCGAATCAGATCCGTCAAATCTTTTCTTTTTTTTTTTTTTTTTGCAGAATCTAGCAGATTAATCGCTTGTTGGCTCGTAGCCTTGAATTATCTGTACGTGGTTGGACCAAACCGAAGTCAAACATAATAAGGAATAAAATTGAAATGATTCATGGAATCTTGTAAAATCAAGTTTGGATGGATTATCAATATTCACATCGCAACAATACTAAACAAATTGTACATTATATATACAACTATTAAGCCTGAAAACTTTCAATAAAAAAAAACTATTTTTAACCATGTACATATATGCACATATGATAAACTTATTACATAAAGAGAGGTGATTTTGAGGTGTGGGGTAAAGTAAGATGTGTTTGTCTCGATATATGAAGAGTGTTTCTGATACGGAATAGATATTGTTGTACGTTGTTTATTTATTTGTCAATTTGTTGTACGTTTAGTGTTTTCTAAGTTAAATATATATATTAAATTAGTCCCGGAATTGAGAGAACCTGGAAACTAGAAAGCGACTTCTGGTTCATCTTGTTTAGCTCGAAAAAGATAACAAATGTAAAATGTTACACAATTTTGGTGATGGAGATTAATGGCACAAATTAGTTGCAGTAGAGGCATGTATCTAACTTTCAAATTGGATCCAAAGTTGTAAATCTTCTAACTAACTTTCGGGTCACACAATAAACTGCTCTAATTATATTATCAACATATATACTGAACACACGTTTTTAATATGCAAATGAGTTTTTTTTGTTAAATAATATACAGTAGCTGCAAAGTAAGACACATGCACAGTTTCGTATGATTTTTTTTTATATAAAGAATAATTACAAGTTTATGAATGAATGAGTGAGGCATTTCCAGGATCCAATTAATGATATAGAAAAAGCCAAATAATCAGGATATATCACAACCTAATCATATGAGAATTTTGAAACATTTACTATATAATTGTTTGTTTATTTTCATGTCTACAAATAGTACACGATGGAACAAACAACAAAACAAAACTCGACGTACGTAGTTTTCTATAAGAAAAGAGTATTTAAAAATATAGGAATGCGATAAACTAACGTAACTAATTATGCAGAGAGTCAGAAACGCACAAATAGTGGAACCATGACGTATTTGTTTTGTATTTTCAACTTCAGCATCCATAAGCTGAGACTAATTGAAGATTAGTAACAAAAACGGTAGAGTCTCGATGAGATCGCAATAAGGACAATTTAATGAAAACGTCAAGGACTAAGGACAGTACCCTAACCAATTAAGGCTTCCTCAATTAATATGCCTGCCACGATGCACATGGACGTCGCAAAACCCATCCCATTTATTTGTCTAGTAGTATAATTTTTATTTATTTGTTTTGGGAATTGGGAGATTCATGTTAAATCCAAAATTGTTTCCAAAATAAATAGCCGCCATATAAAAGACTCATGAAAGATATAGATGAAATTAACAAAACTCGATGTTAAGTCGACCAAAAGATACGATGACCAATAACCATATAGTTTATGATTGACTGATAATTATCGATGTTTTCAGTATAGGTAGTTAATTTCTTATTCATTTTATTTAATTTAAGAAAAAAAAATAGTTATATATATTACCCTTTGTTGCGTTTAGTGGTTCATTGTATAACATGATCAGTCTCTGTTAGGTCGTCTGCATCGCGCGCGTAAATGTGAGGTAAGGTAAGAGCCTAAGATGCAAATAATGTAATCGTTGTAGTTTACTAGTTTCGTTTATGTGTTAGTAATTAAAAACCAATCACAACTCTATTTTATAATTTGAATGAATGAACGCAGGCTCCAGTGTACGTTAGTAAATATGGAGTGATATAGCATCGACGGTAAAACCAAAAAAGATTTCGATATCAATCAGTATCTTTTCACCATTTAATGGATTCCACAAAATTTTCAAAGGAAAACGCTTACGTGCAACACAAGTGTCTAACTTATGATATAGCCCAATTCGTTACAGGGCTTAGCAGACAATTTTTGATATAAGCCGGCAAAACATTGTCAAAGAGTACGAAAAAACTTTAAACATTGTTAAAGGCTTGGGATACATCTCTATTATGGGCCTCTGCCAAGGTCTGCTCAACGAGGTTTGATTCTCAAGTCTCTTGCGAGGAAGTTTCCTCTTGACACAAGCGTTGATTTGGATGATATAGCGAGAATGGAGCCTTGTGAGAATCTTATTGGAGCTGATCTTGAATCTTTGCTTCAAGCAGCTTGTATTGCGGCTTGATGCGGTGAGAGAGACTCAGGATGAACAAGACATCCATTGATACAAGATTTTTCTTTCTTTTTTTTTTTCCCGGGAAATATGGTTAAAGAACATTTTTGGATGTATACACATCATTATTGGAACGGAAATTTGACATATGTTGCAACTAAGTAGCGATATTCATGTTCTTTTAAAAACAATGCTCCTTTTCTCTATTTGGAATTTTAAGACAACTGATTTACAGTAACCGAACTAAACCCACAAACATCCGAATTGGATCAAGAAGACAGAAGAAAAAAAAAAATGTCACACACAGTTCTTTAAAGAATCTCCAGCACCCTGAAAGAAGAAGGAAGAAAGCACAAAATCCGCAATAAAGATTCCGACAAGAGACATGACAACTGCAGAGGTTGTAGATTCTCCAACACCTTTAGCACCTCCCGTAGTGGTAACTCCCCAAGAACAGCTAATCACCGATATTATAGCTCCAAACACCTGAGATTTTATCATGGCACTCACAATGTCCCATGGTCTAAGCGCCCTGTGAGCCGAGTCCATGATTATGTTGATGCTAATGCCATAAACCGCATCAGAGAGAAGAGCGCTAGAAGCCATCCCGACAGTGAAACACATGAGTGTCAGAAACGGTAGAGCAAGGCACGAGGCGATGACTCTTGGTGTGATCAGATAATCAATTGGGTCTGCTCCTAAAACACGGAGTGTATCGGTTTGCTCTGAGACTTGCATCGTCCCTAGTTCAGCTGCAAATGCGCTTCCCATTCGTCCGGCAACAACAATCGATGTGATGACTGGACTCAGCTCTCTAGAGAAGGCTAGAGCCAAGACGCCTCCTATGGATCTGTTTAGACCTAGTCTAGTGAATTCTCTAACGAACTGGATTGTGAAAGCCATGCCAACAAATGTAGAAGTCAAAAGGCAAACCCCTAGAGATCTCGGTCCTGTTCTCTCCAGCTGTTGAAGAGTGTTTCTCCAGTGAATCTTACCTTTGAGAATCCGCAGAATGACTTGTCCTGCTATGATTGGAACCGATAAACCTCTCCATATGTATTGAGAAGGTGACCATTTGCTGAACGGAAGCTCAGGTTCTGGAGTTGGCGCGCTGTTTTCAGAGGAGGTTTCTTCCATCATAGACATGGATGGGTGACCGTCATTAGCATTCAAGCTCACATATAATCTGCTTTCTCGTCTAAGATTCGAAATCCTCAAAGACAGTGTTTTTCCAATGAACTCAGCTTTAAAAGCTTTTGGGGTCTTAAAACCGATCAAAGAAGCATCACTCCTTGGAAAAGTTCTGCAAAAGTATCCAATACAAAATCTTGGAATCAATCTGACAATGAAGCAAATGAGAAAGCTTTAAGCTTATGACTACAAAAGTACCTATGAGGGAAACTCAACGATTGATGGATACAACAAGTCTGCATCATTGTAGGTCGAGTTCTTCTTTAGAAGTTCACTGACTCAGTTCCAGCTCTAAGCTAGATAGTCAACAGTATTCAAGGCAACACGCATAACACGATTAGCCTGTCAATAAGCGAGATTTAACAGCTTTTAATCCCACGAAATGCCAATTAAAAAAGAAAAACCCAGACAATCAATAGATAGGAAACAACAGATTTTGCATAACGTCAAGGAGATCCAAATCGCTGCACCGATTCCATAACTATGTTCCGCTTCCTAAACAATCAATCAATCTATAAAGCAGTCAATTTCGTATCCAATCTATAACTATACGATTACTACAGGTACAATTTCTACAGTCGAACGGGAACAACAATTAGGTTTTATCAGTCTTCTTACTTCGAGATCTCGACACAGTCACACAAACCTTGAAAAGAGCAGCTATCACTAGAAAAGGTAGCATATATATCAATAAGAGATTCAAGAAAACTTACGGGTTTAGATACGAAAGCAAGCTAGAAAGATCGAAGAAACTCGCTTGACAGGATTCATTGAAAGAGAAAGTAACACAGAGCCAACACGAACCAACAAACAACTAACTGTAGCAATGGCAAAAGGAAATAGCTAACAAAACCTGGGCCCTAAAGCCCAATATATTTTACAGTTAAAGCCTGGGCATATGGGTTCACTGGTATATAACACTAACACATATCATCTCTTTTTTGTATATGAATATTAAACATGTATCATGCATGTAACCAATATCGAAAGCTAGTATATATATATACACACATATATATAGGTGTGTGTGAAAAGGGAAAATGGTGGTGGTCACGTGAGAGTGAGTCTTTGTAACCTTTGCGGAGACAACAACGTTATCTTTTTCTTCAGCCGGTCCGTTCTTTAAAGGCACACTCTGTATAATATACGCCTATATACGTTTTCTATATTGACACTTACCCTACTCTACACTACAAACCAAAAAACTACTTCTCATACAAAAAAAGTGATTCTATATAAAAATTGAGGTCTATATTTTGATTCATATATATATATATATATATATATAAAAGGAAAAGGGTGTCATACTTTATACTTAAATACGTACATTTACATACGTATAGGGAGATATGTATAACAATATAGAGAATTAGAAAGCATATAATGTGATGCATGTGCATGGGATGGGCAGATGGGGCCCGCGGGCTGGAGAAGGCCCATAAAGTTAAAAGAAGATGAGAGGACCACGTGGCAGGGGGGCTAGCTAGTTCTACAAGTGGAGTGGATACTAAGAAGTAAGAAAGTAGGAATGAGATGAATCTCGTGATATTGCACTGTTTCTACTATTGGCAATGCAGTGTTGCTTTCATCTAGGGTTTCAGAGCTAGCCCTCTTCCTTTTTTTTTTCTTTTCTTTTTGTTTGTTCAGTTTGCTTTTCTCACCTATCCAACCACACCACTTATGTTCCCTTGGCTTCCGCTTCTATTTTTAAGAGATCTTTTGTTAAACTTCGTATAACCTAAGTTAAGGAATTACATTTTTCTTAATTAATATTTATATTTGGAACCTATGGTTTTTGTCTTTTTCTTATTTCATGTTTTTATCTAGCGAATGATTTCTAGAGAGAGTCTCTTCTCCTCAACATAGTGTTTGGATTCGAAGTTTGGATCTGATGATAGCATCAAAACATTAGCAATATTCAAGTTGATAGCTAATCGTGTTTGAGTATAAAGAAAACTGAAATTTCTTCCTTTTTCTGGAAACTAAAATGATCATTTAACATTTTTTCATACAATGTGTATAATTTAGTTGTGACCAATTTTTGTAAGTATTGCGTGTATTTACATAATATATACTAATAAAGTTTGCATATCTTAACTTTAGCAAGAAGCTTTGAGTCACTTCCTTCCTTTATTCAACAAGACAAAAAGCCATTCCTGGCGGAAAGAGCATGCTGCATATTTATCACATAGCTTTAAGCTGATGGTCACAGAGGAATGTGGAACCTTGATCAATCTTATGTTAAATTTCACAAAACCTACATTTCTATATTTTCTTTTAATTACATATCATACGGTACTGCTTGAGGTTTTTCCTTCTTTGTTAACTCGGTACTGAATTCATTCTCAATATTGCTTTTTCATCTCTAAATCAATCTCTTTATCCTCCTATTTTGTAACCTCATAAAGCCACAAACAACAGCACAGTTAAATGTTTTCATCATTAATAGTTTAATACTAGCCAACTAACCCAAAATATATATATATATATATATATAAAACAATAACCCAAAGAAAGAAAGCATGTATATAGTATATACTAGCTAGCAAGGTTAATGATTGACTTCTAGTTTTAACTTTAAGCGAGAGGTAGAGAGATGAAGCGAAAGGTAAGCACACGGCTCGAGAGTGAAAGACAGAGACATAATAATTGGGATTTCTCTTGTTCTGTAAATTTCCCCAAACAAGTCATGCACCACTCCTCAGTCCTCACTCTCTACTTGCCTTTATGTATGTATATTGATAAATCATATAGTAATTCATGTTCCAATAATCATATAGTAAGGCCATTTAACAAAAATAAAATATAAAATAATTAGTCATTTATAGTTTTTTTGTTACAATAATCATTTATAGTTTTAACCACTAAACATCGCCGTATAGTTATATGCTATTCCATCAGCAATTATTATTTTAGAGCACGCAATGCAATATAATAAAATAATATAAATTGTCACGAAAGATCATATTCGTGCCGTTGAAAGAAAAAAAAATGTGTAATCACGAAGATCCGTAGTCATCAAAGTTTAATCGTGAAGATCGGTAATTATCACAGTAAGGAATGCATGACTTATTGACTTTAATTTAGATAAGGTAGTACGTACTAATATTATATACTATTATTTGTGTAAATTAAAAACACAGACAAAATACTTATTATTTAGTCTACAAGAAAAAAAATACAAAATTAATATCCCAAATTATACACACAACTTTACAATCGTACAAAATAAAATATATTACTAATTACTAATTAGTAATCCCTTCCATTTAAGCGTAATCGTTGCTAACTCATAACCCATAGCCATAGTCGGATATTTTTGATTTCAGTTATAGTGTATTTATTTTAAATTTGTTTGGACATTACATTAAATTTTGGCTATCTAACAACGAGTTATCTATGAATCTAGAAACGATATAATTTTTTGGGCTCAGATACGCACATTCGTCATTCGGATGTATATAATATAACTATTGACATTTGACGCAAGACTTAAAAAATAACCTTAGACTTTAATTAAATTAGTACCAGATGACGCTAAATTTCTAGTTAACATTAAACTGCGCCGCTAAATCACGCGGTTCCACGTGATCAAAGTACCCGGAGTGGATTTGCTTGTTTGGTCTCACTCTCACGCCAATCAAAAGGTGTCTGTTTAACTATTTTCTTCAATAGTTTATAGACCTATGATATGGCCCGGGATTACGTAATTATACGAATTGAATCAATGGACTCACGGATTTAACTCACTATAATTATTATATGTCAATTTTACATTTTTATGTTTTAGAAAGTAAAACCTTGAACCATTTCATGGAGTGGTTCCGTTGGAGAACGAAGTGGATCCTATCCATCCATTAGTTGCTAATTATTACCCGTGAGGCCGTGACCTAAAATTTAGACTGTAGGGTTTGCTGTCAAGCAAATATCCATTAGAAATATGTACATCAAATCCATTAGAAATATATATGTACATTAATATAATTATTTTGTCTAACCGCAATTTCACCTAATAGTTTCAATTATGAAAATCTGTTAAAGTCTTGTTATAATGATGATGGTTACTGGTTGCATTCTATTATGATAAGCTCATGAACGGCTATACTTAAACACCGCAATATAGAGATGTTAGATGATTTGCTGTAATTTTTGTTAAAGATTCAAGTTAACGGTTTGAAACATAAAGTAAGGAAACATGTGAAAAATAATAATCTTAGTAACGTACCAAAATGATCGAAGGTAATTATATTTCTAATTTACTCTATCTTTATTTTATGGTTAAGTACGTAGCCAAAAAAAAAAAAAGGTTAAGTACGTAACCCTTTATCTTAACCAAATACTGTAGTACTATCTTTGCGGCGTCTTTTCTTGAGCAATTGAATCAATCAAGTTATTAAAATAAAACCGCACGAGGTAACAGGATAAACATTCCATCACATCGGCTAAGTTATGTCAATGACCGCTATTGTATTTCCGACTTATAGTTTGTTCTTTGTTAAAGCGAGGAATCACAGAAATGTTTTTAGCTATTAGCTAAAGAAACAAAGCATTTGTGTAGTCAACTAACAGATACTCTCTCTGTTCAGAATTATTTGATGTTTAAGGTTTTTGCACACAGTTTAAGGATTCATTTAATTTTTATTTTTCCTATACTAAAAATATTATTTATAATTCATTTAAATATCATTCAGCCAATAAGAAAACAATCTGCAGAATATAAAATATCAAAAACTATAAAAATTCATTAAATTTTGAACAAAAAAAACCTTCTAAAACATCAAATAATTCTGAACAGAGAAAGTACTTGTTTTATTAGTTAAACAGAAATTTCGAGATTTACGATAAACAGATACTTGTTTTATTAGTTAAACTAAAGTAAATTTTATTTTATATTACCGACAATCGAGATCATTAATTCATTACTAGCAATAAAAAAAATAGTTAAAAGTAATAATCTGGAAAACAATGGAAACAAAAAAGGGTAAAAGAAAGCAAAAGGAAAATAGGGCAAGTGCGAATACGTATCTTCGGCCACGGCTCCGTATACGCTTCTAAGAAAGAATCAACGGCATCGGTGTGAGCTATTTTTATTCGTGGTTTTTGTTTCATTATTACCGTTTAGTTACTGTATTGCTCTTCGTTGTTCTAATAAGATTTATGACACACGTACAACTCTGACGTGTTGTAAATTACATCTAGTCTTGATTATCACTTCCTATCTGACTATAATTTATAATATTTTGGATTTTGAACTATAGTTTACAAGAAAAATTTATTATTATATTTGATATATATGAGGGCCTCGTCATTTATAATCAATTTTACAATTTATATTGATTTGAATTTATTATTAAGACACTATTCGAGACAAAGATAAAAAGCGTAGGAGTTACTAGGATCCCAATATGTAAACCGAATGATTACCCTAGAAGAATTTACTTTAAAAATAGCGTCTAATAATAGTCCCGGAAAACAAAACAAAACAAAAATATATAGCGTATTTGTTCATCATATAAAATTTATTATTGTGTGTTATTTATTGTGATGGGGATTCATTGAAACTGGAAGACAACTGTAGAGAAAGTGCCCCATAGAAGAAGATCTTCATAGTACTCTCCATCTCTTAACTCTCTCTCTCTCTCTCCACAGAGAAAACCAGCAGAAGCAGTAAATTGCTCGAGTTCTTGATGAAAGAGACAGAGAGAAAATGCCTTAAAGGGTTTGAAGTGAAGCAATAAAGATTGGCGGCGTTTGCAGCAGTTTACTTAAATTTCCTCACCATCATTACTCTTTCATCTGCTCCCAAATCTGCTCCTTTCAGATACCAAACACATCTCCACGTCTAGAAATTTAAATGAGCTAGCGAGCAAAAAAAAAAACAAGGTAAACTCGAATCTCCATTAGTAAATTATTCAAAACCCCAAAATAATCTAATAAATATTCTCTTTTTATTTTTGTGAAGAAATGGCTGGATTGTTCTATCTAGGAGGGAGAGAAGACAGCAAACAAGATCTTCATCATCAAAACAAGGATAATAGTGAAGACAAGAGCAATAACTATCTTTATCTATACAAAGACGAGATCTACAACAACAACAAGGGTTTTGAGATTTGGCCACCTCAATATTTTCAACACCAACAACAACAAAGTCCTGTGGCTCCTACAACAAATTTCTACTCTTTTGGTATGGTCCCAAGTGGTGGCAGCAATAACAATAACCGGGGTACTAATCGGAGTTTGTACTTCAACGTTGTCTCCGATCATGAACCGGTGAGATCCGCTACGGGAGGGTTTACTGTAACAAGGCAAGGAAGCATGAATTGCCAAGACTGTGGGAATCAAGCCAAGAAAGATTGTCCTCATATGAGATGCCGTACTTGTTGTAAGAGCCGAGGGTTTGATTGCCAAACCCACGTGAAGAGCACATGGGTCCCGGCTGCTAAACGCCGTGAGAGACAAGCTCAACTTACTGGTTTGCCATCTAAGCGGAGCAGAGAAGCTAGCTCAGGCGGTGGTGATGATGATGATGATGACAGAGACAATGGAAATAGAGGTCAAGGCGGTGGTAGTGGCTCGGCTTTTGCTTGCACTCGTGTGGTTAATGCTAGCTCTTCAGGTATAATCAATTAACCTAACTTGATTGATCGATCTTTAGTGGAGAATTTTGCAAGATCCAAAACTTTTTTGGGATCATAAGAAGATCTGAGGATTGAAATGTCCACTGGATTTTGCTGCTCTTTGATTTTCATGATGTCTTTTTTTCAGTCACTGTTCTTGGGTAAACCTGACGATACAAAGGGCTTAATCGATTTCATGAATCTTTACTTCAACCCACTATCAACGATAGGTGTTTATTCAATGTGTGACAACTTTTATACATATAAAAATAAACAAAGCTTTTATTATTCAAATCAAACCTTTAATGTTATAAAAAAACAAATGTTAGGTTTTCTTTATAAAGTTTTGGTTAAAACTTCGATTATATGATTCAAGAACCGTGATTCAAGAACCGATATACTCTAATTTATAAACAAATTATAGGTCTTCTTTTGATTTTGTTGTTCACTTTCTTTAAATGAAATTAGGGTTAGAGAGTAGTCACTTACCGCCGGAGATGAGTTTACCGGCGGTTTTCCAGTGTATGAGAGTCAGCTCAATCGACGATGAAGACGAAGAGTATGCATATCAAACGGCTGTGAGCATCGGAGGACACGTGTTCAAAGGCATTCTCTACGACCAAGGTCCATCAGATCACCGCTACAGCTCAAGCCCCACAGCCACAGCCACCGAGACTTCTCAACACCACCTTAACCTCTTGGCCTCAACCGCTTCAGCCGCCACTACAACCGCCGTGACCGCGAGTAATATTAATAACGCAACGATTGACCCTTCCTCGCTTTACACTGCGGCGACGACTCCGTTCAACGCTTTTGTCGCCGCCGGTACGCCTTTCTTTGCACCTCCTAGGTCTTGAGATTGAAGCATTTTAAATGTGAAATCTGATTAAAATTATTAGTACTTTTATTATTCAGTGAACTACGAGTACGAAAAATGATTAATTCGAGGGTTTTGTTGTTGTCGGACAATATGGTAACTTTGGTACCTAGCTAGGGTTTGAAGTACTGATTAACATGCACATCGTACGTTTTCTAGAGATAAATGAGAGATTATTAATAACTATATTTTTCTGGGAGAAAGGAGAGAGATTATTACGATTAAGTTAATGTCAGAGTTTCATGTTTGATCTTCAGCTTGTTCTTTTTAATGTTTTGATCTTCCCAATGCGATCGACATAACTCCTTTGTTTTTTTTTTTAAAAGATTTTTTATTGTATACTCTCTTTTTTTTTTTTTTTTCTTCTTTCAAAGTTAGATCTTTTGTGGATTAATAGTGGATTAGCTTTCTGGCTGGTGTTGAACTCGAAGCTGCTTTTTCCCAGTTTATCCGTTTGCTTGCCGGATCTAAACAGGACTTAACTAGGTTTCGTGTTCAGTTGAGCAAACAATTTCAAATCTACTTATATAAAAGTAAAACTTTCATGCTACCCGGCCAATCCAACTTCCGCAGAGTCAAACAGTAGAAACCATCACTATTTTTCATTTCCTTTTGACAATAACAAACCAAATTGTACATGCTTACATTTATACAATATAAAGACTTTTATTATAAAATCAGGAAAAGTCACCCGCGAGTGAATTAAATTATATAAACGCAGTCATATCGTTCTATGGATTGTATTAGATAAAAAATTATAGTTTAGCTATGAATCTAGGTTTATTTGCACCAAAAAAAACTTTTGAATTTTCAACTGTCGGCATACTCAAACCCTAAAACGAGCTTCTTGAATTTGACCCCCCCAAAAACGAGCTTCTTGAGTTTCAATGCATGAGAGGCGGTTACCTGATCAAATTAAATTAAGTTCTTTCCAGTAATTGGATAAATACACTGTCGAAGAAGTTTTGCTGTCTGGTTCGCTTATCTAAAAGTTGTCCATCGTTATCACATGGAGATGACGACTTATTGTGGAAGATCGGACGTTAGCGTTAATTGCTGTGAAGAAAAACCATCAAAATGATTTATGAGGACAATACATTACATGTGATTTGTATAAAAAAATATTTTAGACCAACTTTTTTTCTTCCTATGACTCGTAATAATTAATACTGGGTCAGCTGCATTTGTTTATTTTATTCGCACTTAATTAATTTGCTCTTTTTTAATTTAGTGTCTCCTGAAATTTTTTAATATATGTTTAATGAAATTGTCAATATGATCGTCATCATAACTACTGTATTATTGTTTTAGATTTGCTTGATTTAGGACATGTAAAAGTAACAGAGGAAAAGATTGAAGTTTCCCTAATACTGTAGTGTGTCTGACTCCCGACATGCATGTGATTTCTTCTCGCAATCTCTCACTATCAATTGTATCATTTTCAGCTAATATTCATTCTGTTAAAAGTGGCGTGTATTTTATATCATAACTTCGTCTGTTAACTCTGCTTAATCCATCCCACCTATTGTTCCGCTAATGCACCTCATAAGATTGGTTAGTTAGTCTATGCTTTAATTGGTAACTAGAAAATACTGAATCTAAATTTGAAAATTATGTCGCCAAATTGTATAATTCAGCCAAATCGTCCATTTGAAAGTTGAAATGAGATGTCATTAGTTTTTTTTTTCGCTAAACCACTTTCTCTATCAATTCAACTGAAAAGTAGTGACTATTTAGTTGAGGTGTATAAGTTTTTCTCTTTTCTTTTAAGAATATGTTATATATGTGCATCAGTCCATGTTTGATTGTTTTCGTTTTAGAAGTATATTTTTCATTGTTTTTCACAAGTATGTACAATGAAAAGAGGTTAGTCAAAGTTTGAAAATGGAAAGGTACAGTTACTCCTATAAATTATTAGAGAAAGTGATGGGAATAACTTGTTAAATTTGTTGGAAATAAAGATATATGGAAATGGGTCAAGAAACATAATAAGTCAATGGTCAAGTAGAAGAACTGAAGAACCATAGATTTTTAAGAACATAGTTTTTTTGAACATCCCCACAACATCTGTATACCTAATTCGATTATGACTGATATGATATGACATATTGTTTATCAAATCCTTTCTTTCTTCTCAAAAGCAAATCGATTGTTCTCTACATATCAAACAACGACCATATAAAAAGGTTGATTCCTTAGATTTAATATCTTTTAACAAAAAATATTACCAAATTCTTAACGCAAAATAAATATGGGTCCCTTATAACAAAAAATACTATATTCTTTGCTAAATGATTTGTTATGTCGCTGCCCTAAAGCCGTATGCATTTTCTGTCAGCAAACTCAGCAATAAAAAAAAAAAGAAATCTTATCATCACACCGTGTTAAATTAAATGGGCACTTATTGGGCCTCATCCTAATCAGTTAACAGACGAGCCGGGTCGGGTATAAAGGTACTTCTCTTCTCCCGCTTTCGCAGAACAGAAGAAACAAACCAATGGGATTGCAGAAGATGCAGAGAAAGATTCTGCAAGAAGAAGAGAATATTCTTGCGGAGGAGATACAAAGACTCTTAGAATCAGCGACGGAATACGATCGAAGGAAATTTCATGAACTGGAAACAGAAAACGCCGACGAAATGGTTTGGCTAATGAAGTGTCCACCAAGGGTCGATAAGGCATGGCGCGATCTTTCTGCGTCTACTTCTTCGTTTTCTTCGGATTTTGTTCTCTTGGCTAAGTATATGGACTCCGTTAATCTCCTGCTTCCCGATTGTTCGCCTGAGGTAATTCTATGCATCTTCGATTCTGTTTTAGGCCAGACAAATTGGGGATTCGCGTTTCGTAGTTTCTGAAATTTCCTCAAGCTTGATTCATGGTTAGTGTTTTCTTGATGTATAAGATAGCTCAGGCAAGAATCTTATTCTGTTTGGTGGGTTTTTCTGGTGGTCTGTTTTAGTTGACTATGGAGATGGTTAGTGTTGAGTTATGCAACATTTCGAAGCTCTATTCTGTTAACAAATCCAACGACCTTGTTCCAGCGAGTATCTTCTCTGAAGCAGATCAAGGTCTGGTCTTTTGGTTTATGTTTTCATATACAAGCCTGAATTTTGATCACTTGACGATGATACTTCTTCTAAACATGGTGTTAGGTAAATTGGCTGTTGAGGGAACGATTACACAGAAACTCGATTTGACACCCCACTGTGACATTGAACAATACGGAAAGCTTATTCATGAGAGGAGCAGAAAACAGGTGGCTCAAAATAGACAGATTCAGGTTTTTTTTTTCTAGCACTATCTAAGTTGTTCCAGTTCACGTTTTCCTTTTGGAAATCATAGTCTTGGTCTTACCATACAAAGCTAATTAGACAAACCACTTTCTTTAAAGGTTCTTGATAACTACCGTGGAGAACGCTTGATGCCCAACCCTAATATGGTGATGTCTTGCTTCTCTTCTCTTTGATTTACAGAGAAGTGGTTCTGTTATGAGATAGTTCACTCTAGCTAATGATATGTAGTTCCTTAGACTGATACTGTTCCTCCATGAGACAGGTAAGGAAGGAGCGTAAGCAACATGTAAGGAGGACTAGAGGCAATCGGAGTGAGGTGGAAGCAAAAATGTTCGTACTATTTGAAAGACAACCGAAATGGACACTGAAACAGCTTCTACAAGAAACCAACCAACCAAAGGTATGCTCTCTTCTTATGGACTCTAATCTAAAAACAACACAAGAAATTAGCATTACATGTAATCTAAAGCTAATTTCAACGTTTTGGTTGAAACTGTGTTTGTTTTTTCAGGGATTATTGAAAGAAATTCTCAAAGAGCTTTGTGTGTACACGAGGGGCCGCCATACCTACGAGCTTAGACTGGAATACAAGAGAGCTGGTTAAGAAGACACAACAGGTGCTCAGTAAAGAGGCATCATCAGAAGATTTTGTGTATAGAAAATAGAGTTAGAGAAAAATTTGTAAAAATAGGAACTTTTCTTTTTCAGCAGGTAAAAATTGGAACTTGGGTCTATAATGTGAAAAGGTATCTTTCAGGAGGTGATTTTCTGTAACATACATACACACTTCCAAACAATTTCATTACAAAAATAGCAATTTATACATTTTCAGAACTAACACACATTAAGAAACAATGAACTTATCAAGAGATCAAAGAAGTAATCTTAACATTATCTCCAAGAACCCATCCAACTTCGCAATGTTCATAATCTTCATTCCAAAAAGCATCAACATTGCATTTCAGGTTACGTAGAGTAGAGGAGGACACCATCTAATCACATGATGGGCTTGCTACTCATTCTCATTCTTTATGTTCAACCATTCTTTAGAATGCATCAATAAGAATTTCCTCACTCTTCCCATCTTCATAAATAGACATTTGGCCATGTTTTTATTCCTTTTGTGTAGCTTCATAGTTTATACATAGCCATTGTTATTTTACCATAAGTTTTGAGCATAGTAATTGAACATACAAGTATACTCTCTTATTTTTGGGCTATTCCACCAAAGGATCTTATATTTGTCTGTACTGGAAGATTATTTCATGAGAAAAGGTTCACACACTTACACTTGCAAACATTTCATAGTAAACTCATACAAATCAAAACTAAAACAAATTTACACCTATATCCGAAACAGTTACACTTGCACTACTTACACATATAAACAATCAAAACATATGATTCTAACTTACCCACAAACAAATTAAAGAAGGAGAAAAACAAAACCTTTATATAAAAAAAAATAATTTTGGGAACAAACTTAATTACCACTGTCACGATTCTCTTTGTGAAGCCTATAGAAATAAGCGGCGGCGCTCAAGGCGGCTGTAATCAAGGCGACACCTTTGAACACATCAAACTCATCGTCCATGAAGTTGAAGAAGATCACCACAAGCACCGACACGATCGGCCACGTAATGACGCTGATCACGTTCGATAACACGCTCGAGACAGAGAAGACGAGTCCCACGACCCCGACCCAGTAGATCTGCCACGAAACGGCTTGACCCACCATAGCCATCACATACGAACCTTTCCCCTTGGAGAAACCATTCATTTCCCTCTTCAAATCGTCATGCTCGCCGGCGATTAAAAGACCCACGGCGGAGATGATCGTAGCGACGAGGGAGGAGAAGATGAGGACTTCGAAAACGGAGGCGAAGCTCGGTTTTCTGGTGGTTGATTCGGTGCGTTTGAAGATGTAATTGTCGAATACGTTTTGGATGTTACAGAGGAGGAGAGAGAAGCATACGCCGGCGAAAAGAGCCGCCCATGACCCTGTTGCGTAATTCTCCTCCGCCTCGTCTGGCTCGCCGCCGAATGAAGTGGAATTGGTGAGAGCTCCGGTGACGACAGCCAAAATCAAGGAGATTACGATCCATCGGTTGAATTTGACTTTGTTGATGAGACGTGCGAAAATCGGAGTGAAGATGAGCTGTGCTGTGTAGATCAGAGTGAAAACACTAAACGGAATCTCGAGCTTCCCCAAGGCGGAGAGTCTTCCTTGAACCGACATGATGATTCCGATGCAGATGTAGATTACGGCTAAGGATTTGTAGTGGAATCGATCGGAATTGATCGGAGGTTGATTGTGGTTCTTGGTGGTGAGGATGATGAAAGGGAGGAGGAGGAGAGGGAATCCGACGGTTTGGAGGAGGGATTGAGTCCAAACGCCGTCGTTTTGACGTTTTTCGTCGTAGTCACTTCGATGGATTTGGTCGTAGTAGAAGTTTTCGAGGAGCTTAGCTATGGATTGACCTACGATGACGAAGATGATTGAGAGGATAATCGTTGGCCAGTGGTTCGGTTTCCGGCTTGAGTTTCCGGTTTGGTTGATGAGTGTGGTTGAATCACGCTCGATGTTGATTGGTATCTGCACAAAATGTTCTGCAAAAGAAAAGAGGAAAATTGAGGGTTTAGAATCAAATCGTTTTTGCAGAAGAGGAGATCAAGAACAGAATCATTTGGGCTAAATTGTTACTATTATTACCTTGTGGCTTGGTTTGAAAAATTGGTTGTTGATTCTGAGCCATGGTTCGGAACTGATTGTCGGAGAGTTTAACTTCAAATGTATTGTCGGGGGATTCGATCTGATTTGATATTTTTGAGTGGATGATGTTATTGTTTCGGGACAATGGAAAGAAAAGTGTTTATTTAATATATAGCACAAGGAAAGTCTACTTGGCGGCGTAATGGTCAATCAAGTGTGCTCATCTCTACGCGTCATCGCTGAAACTTTCTGCGTTGCTTCCTCACCCAAAAAAAAGTGTTCTTAGCAAATAATATGTTGAAACTATGAATTTACTTCTAATTAAATTCAAGCAATAATCGACCAAAAAAGATGTGTTGATGTTCAGGATTCGTTTTGTTTTTGGTTGTCAACGATAATTAGGACTGGATTGATTAAGTTCTTAGTTAATCAACATGTTGACTTGTTTCTTTTCTTCATGGATAAACAAAGATTACGGGACTTTCCTTACTTGTTACATTACGGAAATTGGACAAACACGGTGCCCATTCTGACAGCTCTCGACATTAAACGTATCGTCAATTGCTTCTGAAATCATCTTCTTAACAATATTGCATACTTTTTAAGAACTTTAAAAATTGAAGTTTGGAAGTCTCTTTAAGTTTTAATAAATTAACCAAGTCCTCATTAATCCCATACGATGATCAACTTTTCTACTATCATTACTTATTTGTAGTAACTACTTCGCAAATTTATAACTCAGATTCAGTGTTCTTCAATGCAAACTCTAATCATGCTCAGACTAAATGAACCTCTGGACATACGGATACAACAAAAAAAAAAAAGAGATCAAGAGAGGAAAGGCATATCATTTGGTGCTCTTTTGGCATTTTAATTAGAGAGTAGCAATTCCTTTGGTGCTCCCTTGGCATTTTACTTAGAATCCAGAGTCTATAGACACTCTCATTCAAAGCAATAGCCGCGTTTGACCACAAAAACGCCCCCACACTGTTTCTACGGCGCTACACAAATTAGGCCCTAATCTACCTTTTCAATATTGATGGCTATAAACTGTGCCTCGTAGACATCAAAAGCTCTAAACCACCACACTAGACCCCATGATTCAAATAATAAAACTCAATATCCCAATCAATATTCTCCACTCTCCTCCCCAAACTTTTAGCCTATATATCTTGACAAAGAAACGGAGGCAGCCAAAGTTGCATAGAGACATAGCTTAAGTAGCATATCCTAACCTGTGTCAATGGATTCACAAAAGTCAAAGTAACTAACACTAACCTCCGTTGGTTACACATTTTAGACGAACCAAATACTCCTCATCATTTATACCAATTTTTGACATGTGTTTAGAATTCCTCGAATCATCATCCGTGTAACAATATTAGTACTAAAATGATACGGGGGCATTGAAACTCTGATCAATCAAACTTCTTTAGATACCAATTTTGTAGGCTCTTCCTTGAACTTGTCAACTCGAGAAGCAATGATTTGGTATTAAGAACCTTACTTGCATTACCAGACTATTCTTTGATCATAGAGACAATCAAGTAAAACACAGTTTCTTGATCAATCCAAACTATACGATCCTATGTGAACATCTCCACCATCTAGAACCTACGTTTATAAAACTTTACACATTGACCAAATTTAGCGTACCCAATAACTGAAAAACACTGAAGAGAGACCAGAAAATATCTAGGTACCGATATAGCTATGGAGATGGGAAGACATCTTTCACTGCAGAAGCTGCGGTCAAGTAATTGAGCGTATTCCTCAGCGTCTCCCTCTCTCTCTTTAACCTAGCCGCCGTGTCCTCAAGCTCCAGAAGCGCTTGTTGCTCCATTGGAGCTCCTTCGAACGTGCTTCCGACGAAGAACGAGAACGGAGTCGGGAACTGATTCTTCCTCAGATCCTGCGCCTCTTTCTCTGGTTTCCCATTCAATCTGTTCGACAATCGGATCACTTCCTTCATCAGAACCTCAACCTCGTTAGCCAATTCGTCCAGATTCTCCTCACCGGACGGTCGATCCTCCAGCCACGTCACCTTCGCGACGAGGTAGGGCTTCGTACGGACGAGATCCGTCACGCGGAATCGCTCCTGGCCTTTACAGATTAGGAAGAAGCGATCGTCGACGAGCCGCTCGTGCTTCACGATCTCTCCGACGCAGCCGATACCGGCGGCGGAACCTGATACGGCGTCGGAGTAGACGACGCCGAATCGGAGGTCGGATTGGAGGAGCGTTTGCATCATAACGCGGTAACGGTACTCGAAGATCTGGAGCGGGATGGTTGCGCCGGGGAAGAGGACGAGAGGTAGTGGAAAGAGAGGGAGCTCGACGAGGTCATCCGATTTGGGTGGGTTCACGTTGTGGTGTTTCTCGGAGAACGACGACGATGAGCATCGGAAGGAGATGAGCTTACAGCTTCGACGGTTTCTGCTTCGGTAAGTAGCTGGGAGATGTAGAGATTGAGGGTTGAAGGCGGAGGGATACGGCGGCGTAGATTTGATGAAGGAAGAAGATGAGACTGCGCTTGGTAGCGCCATTAGAGTGAAGGAGGAAAAGGAAGAGGGTCAGTTGTGGTAAGCCACGAATGAGATTAAAATTTAATGATTCCTTCTTTCAAATTAAATCTTATCTGTTGGGAAAAAAAAAAATCTTATCTGATATTTTATTTTATTCGTGTGACTAGAGACTCGTTTTGATTGTTTTTTTTTTATTTGTTTTTTTTTTTGTAAAAACAAGAAGTTTGCTTGATCAGAGTTTAATATAGATGGGTTATTAACAAAAAAAAAAAATCTACAAAATCACCGAGCAATTTCTTTTTGTACATGCATGAGGCGTTAGCGAACCCACGGCCCAGCTGGCCAGGATGCCATTTCGTAGTAACCGAAAATATGCAGGGGTAATTCTGTCAACATCGCTTCCTTCTTTATATGCAGCTAGCTTCACAATTAGGAACGGAAGAAAAAAAAATACTGTTGGGAGATTTTGTCATTTTGGTTTCTCATTTTCTCAGATTCGAAGAAATGGCGGCAGAGGAGGGACAAGTGATCGGTTGCCACACGAACGATGTGTGGACTGTGCAGCTCGACAAAGCCAAAGAATCCAACAAGCTGGTCACGATTCTCCTCCCCTCTGTTATTCAATCCTGTATTTTCCCGTCTGTTTGATTTTGGAATTAGGTTTTCGATATTTTTTCATGCGTGCGATTGGATCGATTATGGTATCTGTTCGTGGCGTGGAAGATAAACGTTAGGGGGTCTCGGGTTATATTTCGCCGGGAAAATAGAGATTTACGAGGGTTTAGATTTCGGTTGCCGTAGAGTGGAATAAACGGATCGTTCCAAGGAGATCGCAAGTTAAATCGATCGATCTTCCATGGAAAACGATAGATCAGTGAGAATAATCGTTTTGGGTGGTGAAGTCTCTTTTTATGTTTAGAGTGTCATCCTTCCTTCCTCGTTTCTTCACTCATGTTGTGTTTTTCATCAATCTCATGTCGTTCTTCACTGTTGACACGGGTGTGTGTGACGATTTATTCCTATTAAAATAGATTGAATATTTGATCGTGGGCTTTCGCTAGTGAGAACACGATCTTTTCTTATAATAGATTCATTTTTTGTTTGGTTTTCTGTTGTGTTCTTCATTTGACGCTATTGCAGATCAGAGTCATCCTTGTGTTACAATCTTTATTGCTTAGATTATTTAGTCTCCTGATGGTATTATAATGTCATTTTTTTTCAGATTGTGATCGATTTCACTGCTTCATGGTGTCCACCATGCCGCATAATTGCTCCAATTTTCGCCGATTTGGCCAAGAAGTTCATGTCAAGTGCCATCTTCTTCAAGGTGGATGTCGACGAACTGCAGGTGAACACAAACAACACGCTTTCTTTGCATCTCTCCTTATTCTTCATCTCTCTATACATACACTGATATTCTTCTACACACTTGTGCTGTCTAACAGAGTGTTGCTAAAGAGTTTGGTGTGGAGGCAATGCCGACCTTTGTGTTCATCAAAGACGGAAATGTTGTGGATAAGCTCGTCGGTGCAAGGAAGGAAGATCTTCAGGCAACAATTGTGAAGCATACCGGTGTTGCCACTGCTTAAATCGGTTTTTGAGGCATAGTAATAAGGTCCAGTTAGTATTCTGGAGTCTCGCTAATCGATAATGGTGGATATTGTAGATGGAGATGAATAATGTAGATGTTAAGTGATCTCTGACTGTTTCTTCTATTCTGCACCATGATATACATAAGACCATCCTGTTACTATTTTGTCATTGGCTTTTGCTTTAATGTGATATGTTAGATGTTCTACCTTCATAGACCACAATTTCTGTCGAAAATTTGCATATCAGCGAAATAGATTTTTGTGAATGGTTGGTTCAATGTATATCATTTGAATGTCTAAAATCGAATACGTTGAGAGACCTTACAAAGCTGTAAAAATCCTGATCTCTGGGTCTGGATTCAAATTGGATTAATTAATTTGTGAGAGCAGTCATGTTCCACGTGTCAAAATCATACTGGAAGTTGAAATTCTTATCGCAAATGTTTCATATTTTATTTGACAGAGAATTCTCCATTAACCGAGAGAGTCAGTATCCTTCTTCCTTATCTTCTTCCTCGCCGTGGATACTGTGTATTCTGTAAACTCTCGTTGGAAAACCAAAGAGGAAACGGAGGAAGAAGAAGAATCCTCGTAGAAGTTTTAACAGTATCATAGATACAATGGAGAAGCTTTTCTTACCATCATTTCCCAAAACTTGTTTGAATTATCAGATTCCAGCAAAGGTAGAGAATTCACCTGAAGTTCATCCAAAATCCAGAAAGAAAACTCTATCTTTCACCAAGAGGAACGAACCCATTATCATTCCCGACGAGCAATTGGAATACTTGTGTAGAAATGGAAGTCTGCTCGAAGCTGAGAAAGCTCTGGACTCGATGTTTCAACAAGGATCCAAGGTAAAACGAAGCACTTACCTCAACTTGTTGGAATCGTGCATTGATTCTGGTTCTGTTCATTTGGGTCGCATCCTTCATTCTCGGTTCGGTCTGTTGCCCCAACCAGACGTGTTTTTGGAGACTAAGCTGTTGAGCATGTATGCTAAATGCGGGTGCCTCGTCGATGCCCGTAAGGTGTTTGATTCAATGCGTGAGAGAAACCTGTACACATGGTCTGCCATGATTGGTGCTTACTCGAGGGAACATCGGTGGAAAGAAGTCTCTAAGCTCTTTCGTTTGATGATGGGAGATGGAGTTTTGCCTGATGATTTCTTGCTTCCCAAGATATTACAGGGCTGTGCGAATTGTGGAGACGTTGAGACTGGGAAGTTGATTCATTCCGTGGTCATAAAACTCGGGATGACCTCGTGTCTTCGTGTAAGCAACTCGATTCTAGCTGTGTATGCGAAATGCGGTGAGCTGAGTTTAGCTACGAAATTTTTTAGACGCATGGAGGAGAGAGATGTGGTTGCTTGGAACTCAGTACTGTTAGCTTACTGCCAAAATGGTAAACATGAAGAAGCTGTAGAGTTGGTCGAAGAGATGGAGAAAGAAGGAATTTCCCCAGGGTTAGTAACTTGGAACATATTAATTGGGGGTTATAACCAGCTAGGAAAATGCGATGCTGCAATGGATTTGATGCAGAAGATGGAGAGTTTTGGTGTAACTGCTGACGTGTTTACTTGGACAGCGATGATTTCAGGATTGATTCATAATGGGAAGAGATATCAGGCATTAGATACGTTTAGGAGGATGTTTTTAGCGGGTGTAGTACCGAACGGAGTCACTATTATGAGTGCCGTGTCTGCTTGTTCGTGTTTGAAAGTTCTGAACCTGGGATCGGAAGTTCACTCTATTGCCGTGAAGATGGGTTTTATGGATGATGTTCTTGTGGGCAACTCTCTGGTGGATATGTATTCGAAGTGTGGGAAGCTGGAAGATGCAAGGAAAGTTTTTGATTCGGTGAAGAATAAGGATGTGTATACTTGGAACTCGATGATAACAGGGTATTGCCATGCAGAATACTGTGGCAAGGCTTATGAATTGTTTACAAGGATGCAGGATGCAAATGTAAAACCAAATATTATCACATGGAACACGATGATCTCAGGATATATTAAGAACGGAGACGAGGGTGAGGCTATGGATCTCTTTCAGAGGATGGAAAAAGATGGGAAAGTTCAGCGGAATACTGCATCATGGAACCTAATAATTGCGGGTTACATACAAAACGGGAAAAAAGACGAGGCCTTGGAACTTTTTCGTAAAATGCAGTTTTCTCGCTTCACGCCGAATTCAGTTACCATACTAAGTCTCTTGCCTGCTTGTGCTAATCTTCTTGCGACCAAAATGGTAAGAGAGATACACGGTTGTGTGTTGCGGAGAAACCTAGATGCTGTTCATGCTGTTAAAAACGCTTTAACAGATACTTATGCTAAGTCAGGGGATATAGCATACGCAAGAACCATATTCAAGGGTATGGAAACGAAAGACATCATAACCTGGAACTCGCTGATTGGAGGTTATGTTTTACATGGCAGATACGGTCCAGCTCTTGATCTTTTTAATCAAATGAAGACACAGGGAATTAAGCCAAACAGGGGAACGCTTTCGAGTATCATCCTTGCGCACGGTCTAATGGGAAATGTAGACGAAGGAAAGAAAGTCTTCTCCAGCATAGCGGATGATTATAATATTATTCCTGCTCTGGAACATTGTTCTGCTATGATATCTTTGTACGGACGATCCAACAGACTTGAAGAAGCTGTTCAGTTTATCCAGGAGATGAATGTTCAATCAGAGACACCCATCTGGGAAAGCTTCTTAACTGGCTGCAGGATTCATGGTGATATTGACTTGGCAATCCATGCAGCAGAGCACTTGTTCTCCTTGGAACCTGAAAATCCAATCACTGAAAATGTGGTTTCGCAGATCTATGCGTTAGGTGCAAAACTTGGAAGATCTTTAGAAGGAAAGAAGCCGAGGAGAGATAACTTGCTGAAGAAACCTCTTGGGCATAGCTGGATTGAAGTCAGGAATTCCATTCACACATTCACCACAGGTGATAAGTCGCAACTATGTACTGATGTGCTGTATCCCTGGGTGGAAAAATTGTGTAGGCTGGATGATAGAAATGACCAATATAATGGGGAACTTTTGATTGAGGAAGAAGGAAGGGAAGAAACTTGCGGAATCCACAGCGAAAAGTTTGCCATGGCTTTTGGTCTAATTTCCTCATCTCGTGCACATAAGACGATAAGGATCTTGAAAAATCTTAGGATGTGCCGAGATTGCCATAATACTGCTAAGTACATCTCTAGGAGATACGGCTGTGACATATTGTTGGAGGACACAAGATGCTTGCACCACTTTAAGAATGGAGATTGTTCCTGTAAAGATTATTGGTAGAGTGATTAACCAACCACTAAGGTATGACTTAACTTGATTTGAGCAGTCTTTTAACCACTTAACCACAGAATAAAATATTCTCAATTTTTTTTTTCTGCCGGTGTTAAGAGGTTATTGAATTATCAAATATATATAGTTGAACTGTAAAAGCTACTGAACTCCAATAGTACCTTGGAATCCAACTTATGGGGACCGGGTAGGAAACTCTAATAGTACTCATTTAGGAAAGGTTCAGTGGTGCGTGTTTTTGTTATTTTGGGAGATATGATTCTTTCAAGATTATGATTCCTTCAAGATTATGATTCTTTTTCCTTCCATGACTTCCCTTGATAGTGGAAACGAGAATGAGTTGCTTGGAATAACGTGTATTCTGCAACTTTATTTATATATTCCATAAATTCCCCAACCACAAACGTAACCTTTTCATCCATCATAAATTCCCATCAAATGTCTAAGCTATGTGTTGCAGTAGTCAGCTATCTCTTTACTCGAGCTTCTTACACTTGCTTTGAGTCTTTAGAGATCATCTTAGCCTGAGGATGGTATTACCAACATCTTTTGTTTAGCCTCATTAAACATTATTCATTATTCTATGTATGATTTTCCGCCTTGAAAAACTATTGTGGCAGTTATGATTCTGTGGGGTTAACTTGAAGTTGTTGCTGCAGAGTGTTGAAGGCAAGCCTACATCTGTTGGCCCATGGGGAGGCCAAAGTGGTCATGCCTGGGATGATGGAATGTTCACCACAGTAAGGCAAATAGTTGTAGCTCATGGTTCTAGTATAGACTCCATCCAAGTGGAGTATGACAAGAATGGTAGCTCGGTTTGGTCTGAAAAACGTGGAGGAAAGGGAGGCACAAAGTTTGATAAGGTAAAGCATATAGACTCTTTATCCCTAAAGTAATCCTCTTAGTTTTCAGAAATTGATCACCGTTCTCGTGTTGTTTAGGTCAAACTTGATTACCCGCATGAGTATTTGACTTCAGTGCGTGGAACCTATGGTAGCTTTGACGTCTGGGGGCATCTCTGTGTCCGGTCGCTTACCTTTGAGAGCAACCGCAAAAAATATGGACCGTTTGGTGTTGAGTCAGGTACATACTTTGCATTGCCAAAATTAGACTCGAAGATTATTGGGTTCCATGGAAAGGCTGGTTGGTATGTGGATGCTATTGGTGTTCACCTTCAACCAATTCCTAAAGAAAATAGTCCCTCGTCGAAAATTGTTTTGCACTCACATCAAAATGTCTCCCATGGTGATAAGAAACTGGAGTACTCAGTGTTTCAAGGAAGTGTAGGCCAGAGATTTGATATAGTTGTTGCACTCAAACAGAAAGATTCAACTTTGCCTTCTTTTGAATCCCGAGATCATGCAGATGCTGAGATCACCAAGCATAAGGTGATTTATAAACTTTTATGTTATACATTCATGTCTTTCGATTTTTCTCGGTTTTTGTTTTAACAGAAAACATCGAATCTGTTTTTATCAGTTGGTGACAGATACTGAGAAGCTGCAGCCAAAAGCTGGAGGTGGTGCGAAAACATATGGACCATGGGGTGGAACCGGTGGTATCATGTTTGACGATGGGATTTATACCGGTATTAGACAAATCAATTTGTCACGCAATGTTGGGATTGTGTCAATAAAGGTCTGTTATGATTTTAGAGGACAAGCTGTGTGGGGAAGCAAGCATGGTGGCAGGGGAGGATTCAAACATGATAAGGTGTGTGAACTTGAAACCTTTTTTGGTCGCTTAAGCTAAATTACGCTTCATATATCACAGCTTCTTGTTTTCTGTTTGAATATAATTTGCAGATTGTGTTCGATTACCCGTCAGAGGTTTTAACACATGTGACGGGAACATATGGACCACTGATGTACATGGGACCAAATGTGATAAAGTCACTGACT